GTTTTTTATACATTTTATATTTTTGTGATAAAATAAAAAACTTATAGCTGTTCTGCTTCTGAACACTGATGAAAACACAAAATGATGGGCTTCATCAACAATCAAAAATATATACATTTATTTTACAAATTCCATATTATTAGGGCGGTGTCCTTCAGAGAATTAAAAATACAAAATTATCTTCATCGAAGCCGATGCTTTACATTCGGCGTTCAGTGGCAGACTACTATTTCATATTGTTTTACAACACATGGCTTTAGCGCTCTGGTGGGAAAGACTTTAAAACAAAACGTACAACAGTTACTTTTCTCAACAACTGAAATTCAGAACAGTGTGATTAAGCAAAATATGTGAACTGTTTGCAATTTCAAATTAATATTGAAATGTACAGGTTTAGAATTTTCTACAGTGAAAAGTTTTCGGAACATCAGTATTCAGAAAAGTATACAAAAGCTAGACGTTAAAAACGTATCCAATGAGCGAGCAAAGCGAGCATTGGATTGCGAAGCAATCCGAAATGAACTGCGAAAGCAGTTCCGGGGGTTGGCGAACGCCAGCGAGTAGGGGGCAAAGCCTCCTAGTTAAATAAATATTATTTAAAAATTTTTCTTTTTCTGATCGTCGTTGAACAGCCGATCCCATTTTGGATTTACGACTACTAATGCACAATTCCGTAGCCTTGTAATTTTGAACCCAATCCAAAAGACAAAGGAACTCCTGGATCAAGTATTGGGAGAAAAAAATTTTGCCTTAGTCGATAACTTTTTGATGGAACTTACCCGCATCTGCATTACTTGGACAGGAAAATCATGAGAACCTCCGACGGTTATCCCGTCGGTAAGGAGAATGTAAAACATGATCCGTCTACCACTGAGGATATTTTATGTCAGCACAGTGGTCGGTGCGAGCCGAGTAAATAGTTTGTATGGACCAGCCATCGTCGGGATTCGAACTCGGTTAACCTCATGAGAAGACGAACGCGCTATCTCCTGAGACACCACGGTTGATTGCCTAAATTGTTTATATGCCTGTATATTACATCCTCCTCAGTGATTGTTCTTAAACTTGTTTAGTGCATCATCTTCTGGGATTTTGGGGAATATTTTTTAGAGTTTATCATAGTTTGTTAAAAATTTGTTTAACATGTACTACAGTGAAACTCTCGGGGGCGACTACTCTCTGTTTTACAGTAAAATGTCATTGATTTATAGTGGTCGTTCCTAGGGGATGCCTTCATTGACTTCAAAATGATAGCGAAGGTAGTTGATTTATCGCAAGCAACTTTAATTTTAGTTAGTGTAATTTTCTTGGCGCGGAAATGCCGCTTTTGTTGGCGTCATGAAAACGCGATCAATGAATGAAATTTAGCTTCAATAAAAATGACCTTAACTGATATAATTATGTGTAAAACCAAATTTTCCAATTATGAATAATAGAACTACAGTGGAACATCGTTTATACGACGCCGAAGGGACCACCGAAAAACGTCGTATAAACGATAACGTCGTTTAATCGATTTTTACTTCTAAAACAGAAACTTACTCTGTTTTCAGTTAATTTTAATGTTTAACGTGTTGATTTACATAAATTTCTAAATTAGACAAAGCAAAACAAACAAATAAGCAAAGAAGAAAAATTGCAGTGAGCAATTTGAATGTATGTTAGCTTTAATTATATTTTCTTGCTATTAGTCTCTACAATGCTTTGAATAGCGAGTTGAACTTATTGCTTTCTACTTGTATGATGCAATTGTAGGTTTCTAATCACGGCCAAATCTAATGACTGAAGTGCACTTGTGCAATTTGCAGGAAAAAAGAGAGCTTTAACATTTTCCAAAATAATTAGTATCGATAGGTGCGCTAAACATTGGTTGATGAATAGCAAAAGTTTTCGTTTTTGCCTCTTCATAACATTGTCTAGTTTTTTCAGTCATCTAGTAAAAATTACGGTCGTCATCCAAGCATTCTTGTTGGCACCCTTTTCTGTATCATTCATGTTGGCAAATTACGCCCTTTTTTAAAATACACAAGAAAAAAGAAAAAAATTAAATAAACGTGAACAAAATCTAAAAACCGACGTATAACCGATTCTGTGCGTCGTATAAACGATATATTTTTACATTAAAATTAATAGGAATGATTTGGGACCACGCTAAAACGTCGTATAAATGTAAACGTCGTATAAGTGATCGTCGTATAAACGATGCTCCACTGTACTTTTAATAAATAAACAATAATGTTTCTTTGTTTAAATTTGAATGTAATTTTATATCATAAAAATAAGTTAGCTTTAAAAAATGAGAAAAGGTTTGTTTGTTTGAGATCTTAATTTTTCTGAAATATAGCTTTTTCTTCTAATTTAATTTTCAACTCTAAAAATAAATCCTTGATGACATCGTCTTCAGTGCACTCTGACTACTGTCAATCAATTTCTGAGATCATCAAAAAAAAAATCACTAAATAAGAACCATTTTGAATTTTCAAATTAAACAGTTTGAGCAATCAGATTTTTTGAATCCACTTATTTGTTTAGTTAATAGTTTTTGTTTGATATTTTTTCGTGTTTCCATATTTAACTTTTTCCGCATTTTGTACAGAGGTTTGCACGGTTGCTGGAGTAGATTTTGATGGTCTCTCCCAATGGTTTTCTACTAAACAAAGTCTATAGAAAAAATTTCCGTGCCGTCCAAAAGTGGTTGCAAATAGAGGATGTCACTACACAGAAGTCATTGTTATCTTTCATGGAGGTTTCAGTGTATTAAATAAATGAATGTGTACGATATCTACTCATGGAATATCCTCTATGCAAGTAACAAAGAATAAACTATATAATCGTTGGAATTTTACTGAGAAAGTTCATTAAGATCTTACTTGTACATTCCAGCTCTGGTATGAATGGAAAAACTTCGCATACTCTTGTAACTTCTAAGATAAATGCATTGGTATACGGGAGNTCTTAATGTGGAACTGACACCATATCATGTTTTTAACTGCCCTGCAGCCGCTGCAGGCCTTCACCTCTTAAACTACCCCAAAGAAGAGGATTTGTATTCTTTTAATGCCATAGAAATAACAAAAACTATTCAAGCACACCATGAAATATGATTCAATAGAGGATACGACACCAACCAACCATGGAGGTTTCACTGTATTAAATAAATGAATGTGTACGATATCTACTCATGGAATATCCTCTATACAAGTAACAAAGAATAAACTATATAATTGTTGGAATTTTACTGAAAAAGTTCATTAAGATCTTACTTGTACATTCCAGCTCTGGTATGAATGGAAAAACTTCGCATACTCTTGTAACTTCTAAGATAAATGCATTGGTATACGGGAGTCTGCTCTTGTCTTCGATGCCTGGATCCCTGTCTGTTCCTACGACATCTATAAGTTCATTGTAGATCTTTTCCTGTTCTTCGGGATAGTCCAAAAGGGCTTTGAGGAAAGCGCATACAAAAACTCCCACGGTTAGCACACCATCACCGATAAATTGAAATATGGCCCCAACTAATGCCCTGTCTGCAAAATATAGATTAAAGTATTTTACTTGAATCACGTAGTCACGGAAATGCCATAAACATGTTATTTATCATTAACTTTAAGAAAAATTCTAACATAAATAGACTAACAGATGAGCATACACGATACGTCTAAACAGTTTAGTGAATGGGAGCATGAAATAAAAAATACCTTTAATCAAGGGACGTATCTATTTTTTTGGATGATGGGGACATTATTCTCATTTTAAAAATAATAAAAGAAAATATATAAATTCACAATAAAATAAATTTATATTTATTGTATGTTATTACAGTTTTGTATGCACTATTTATGCACTTTAATGTACCATATACATGCGTGAGGAATTGTTTCCTATTCCTATATATTTTTATTCGCTTTATCGAATGAGATCAACATCGTGTCAATAAAACTAAAATTTGAAAAATTCAAAGTGTTCATTCAATAAAAAGTACAACTTTTGAATTGTACTTAGTATGCAGTAAACCTTTTCAACTTCTAAATTATAAATCCTGCCGACTGGAGTTTTATTTCATTTAATTTATCATAAAAAAATTGCCACTAGATAGCAATGTAAAAAGCATATACATGCTTATATAAAGTTGTACTCTTTATACACAAAAATCCTGGCTACTTTTGAGATGTTCATCCTATTGACTCGTGTTTGTATTCATTCAATTGAGCGTGAAAAAACAACAACAGGAAACAATGCCTTACTTATTTAGGTAGCAATGTCAGATATGTAAATAGGTTTAAATGTATAGATATGTAAAAATACAGACTGTACTTTTAATACGTAAATCATTATTATTTTTCTAACTTATTAGACTGATAGTCTCGGGATTGATTTTCCGCTCAATTCAGAATAAGAAATTATATCGGAAACATTAACTCTTGCGTTATCTAAATAACAGTATGCAAATCCCTCTTCTCCCTTCCACCACCGAAACTCGAAAGATGAGATCGTGCAACGTTTTACCACTAACTATGAAGAGAGTATATACTAGTTTGCTGTTAGTTTAGATTAGTATTAATTGGAGGTCCGTGCTTCGTCGTTTTTGGAGTTGGCAATCTATGCTGACTAACAGCAGGGTTCTTTTGTTACAGAGTATGAAAAATATTTTTTTCAATGTATCAGGAAAATATCTGTCTTACGATTTTAACTTTCAAGCGAAAAAAAAAAACTTATTTAAAACATTTTTTAGGGACTTAAACTCACTTCGGTTCTCACACCGTCAAGTACCAGGTGTATCATCTCTTACCGGATTTATTTAAAATTCTTAACTTTGCTGTTTTGAATTTTCTGATAATATTATTCAACACTGTTATGTATAATATATGAAATTCATTTTGAATCTGATACAGTAAATGACCTCGGTCTACCCGATTTTTAAACATAACACTATTACATTTGTTAGTTAAAAAATTAAGTACGTCACTTAAAATGACAAATATTAAGAGTATTATGTGCAATTTACCCGTGAAATATTGAGCAGTAGGATCATTTCGTGCCAATCTATCTAATCGCTCTTTGAAGTATCTGTCGAAGATATCATTCCTTAGATTATTCTCGCTGAAACTTGATTTGTGTTTGTTCAACATTTTGAATATATTTTTAACCATAATATTAAAGTGTTCCACTGCCAAGCGTTGACCCTTTGTGAATGGATGAATAAAATACCTGGAAAAAATAAAGAAATTACGTATTTTAGTTTTTAACACTGGCATCTTTGCCAATTGGTTAAAAAGGATTGGTTAAAAGGTTTAACTGAAAGGACCTATAGATAACGATCACCGACTCAATAATTTTGAACAACAAGTGGCTACTAAGTCATTAGAGTCTATCCGGCCACTGGCTACTAACTGAAGATTTAAATTTTCAGATCTATATTATTGTGGAATAGTATTTTGGAGTGACTTAATTGGTGACTCTCCAGCTAAGAGTTCACCTTTGAGAGCAATAAGATGTGCATCATCAACGCAATCCTGCCAAACACAGGAGCAAATTCTGGAAGAATTTGAAGAGAACGAAGAAGACTCAACAGAAAATCCGCAAGAAACAGCCCAGGAGGAAACAACAGAGACAAAATCACCAGCACCATCTGAATATGAATTATCCCATATTGAAAAACTGTTCGACACTCTGGAAATCAACATAAACAACCAACATGGTCGCGAAAAGAAAATGTGTAGTCTCCCATCAGCACAGAGAAAAGCTTGCCACAAAGCTCTTCGACAGTTAAAGCAAATTATGAACAACTCAAATGTTCAATCATTCAGCAGTTCGAATATCACCCTCAACTCTGTAGACGACAGCTTGAAAGCCATATCAAACAAATTAGATCATATAAATCATGCCAATCCTGGTAACAGTGATAATGTTCAACCACAACTTCCTCCAAAGCCTATCATAATCCCAGCTACGGAAAATTGTCCAACTAATATCATTCTGGAAAAAATTACTAAAACCAACTCGAAACTACATGTCAAGAAGATCTTCAAAAACAGCCATCTTGAGGAATTGAAATTCCATAATGATCATCAAAAAGACATAGCTCTCCAATGACACATGACATGAGACTGGTTTACCGTATGTTGAAAAAGAAAGGCGGTTACTCTCTCTGATAATCCTTAACGCACCATTAGATTACAACATAGACGAGATCCTAGAACTTTTAAAAGAAAACGTTACTTGCAACAACAATGTCGACATCATTCAATTCATAGAAACCTTGCTGCACAAACATCAACAAAATAAACAACACATCATAGTAAGAGCCTCGCATCGTATCGCAATTCAACTTCTCAAACTTCACTATTTCTTCGCAGGACTAAATAAATGTTTCATAAAAAAACGAATAGTACTTCAACGATGTCGTAACTGCCAATCACTGGGACATCATCAAAACCAACGCAAACAAGTATTTCCTACCTGTGCTAAATGTGGTACAAACGGTCACATGGAAGAAAACTGCGACTCAGCCGAGAACTTATGTATAAACTGCTCGGACTCGAATAAACACTCCAATTCCCGACATGACTGTACCCATAAAGCCTCCCACTCTATTTGTCCCAGTTACCTATCAGAACTTCAACGTCTTAAAGCCAACTACAACTTTAATTTCAACTTTTAGGCGAAATTTATCTTTTCTCATATTTATTTACTTATTTTCCATTCAATACGTGACCATTTTACAGATTTTCTACTTTAGTCACTTTTACGGTCTTTAAGTTTATTTTGTTTTTCTTTTTATACTTCTTTCTTTATTTTTGTTATTATGTGTAATTAACTTGTACGATATTTATTTGTATTTTTTAAACATTGCGACTTTGTACATATCTAAATTCTCTATAAATTCTTGCTGACTGGGCTCGTTTCTAGGCTGGTGTGGAGCCGTACCAGTAGCCAAGCTTTGAGCTATATGGTAAAGGGTCCATAATGACCTAGGCACATGTCCAAATCTTGGAGAAAAGAAAAAAAGCTAAGAGTTCATTGCTCAGTGTACGTTTAATTTACTTTTTTTTAGTTTCTTTCTTTAGAAAGCTTTTCTTAATGGTTTTTTTCAGAGAAAAAATAAAGGGAAGAAGTCGACAACAAGAGTAAGATGACTCAGACACTTTTGAAATTGTGATTATTTGAGTATTATAGCTAAAATGGACTTCAACAAAATCTATTAATCTAAGAAAAACTCCCAATTATATTATGAAGTGGTTAATAAATGATCTGCATGTTCTTTAATTTACTTGTCTTTCTATAACGAAAACTGATCAACAAAAATTGAAAAAATCATGACAAAGTTAATTTAACTGAAAAGTTTTTTTTTACAGGATCTGTTCTATCATGAATTAAATCATAATACTACTAATTATTTTAAGAGTTTCAAGTTTTTAATATCGACAATTAGGTTCATCGTATCTTCGAACGTACATACACCAAATTTGGTGCGAATGGGTTCAGAATTACGTATTTTCATATTTTACATACCTACACACATAGATATAAACATTCTCATTATCATACATACATATAAACATTTTCATTATCATACATACATGTAAACATTCTCATTATCATACACACATATAAACATTCTCATTATCAAACAAACAAAAAACATTATTACATTTTCATTCTTATTTTTTGATATATTAATTTAAATGAGTTTCCAAACATAAATTGATTAAACTAGAGGGATGTTTTTTCACAGCCTTGAAAGCTTAAACGGTTATAAATGTTTCTATTTTTTTAATAGACTTCGCCTGAAAATTAAATACATAAGCGAGGCATTTATATTACATTTGAACAAGGCATTTAAGCATAAGTACTATATTTCGACAAGAGTTATGCACAAAAAAAAGCTATTAAAAGATTTTTTGTCACTTGTAAGTCGTGCTAGTAAAGTCGCTAAGGCTCTCAAATATCATTGTTAAATTATCGGGCCTAAATTTTTGGCAAAGGCTTGAAGCTCACCCAGCTTTAAATTAGTCAGTTTAGAAGTAAAAGCTGGCAATGTTGCTATCTTCTTGTATAGGTCCCGAAATTGTGAAGTTAAAAAACTCCATAAATCCCAACCCTTTGACTAATAGCTGGCTGTTTCGGGAGTGTTTCACTTCATTTTTTATTTGTAACCAAATAATCTGAGATTATATATCATAGGCCAGGGATGGGCAAACTTTTTCGGTCATGGGCCAAAAATCTAGAAAAAAAAGTTTGGTGGGCCGAGTAGAAACTTGTACAAAAAGAATTCTAACTTCTGATATAAAATAAAGTCAATTCATCATTGAACGCATAGCACTCTACATCAACTTTGGGTTTTTTAGTTGTCATTTTGGGATTAAAAATGTTTCTAAATAACTCAAAAAGGCAGTAGCCATTTCATACATTTAATAATTTCACCATTATTTACAATGGCGTTGTATGTGTGCAACCTTTCCTCGCGCTGTAAATTATGCTAGAACTCGCTCCGGCAGAAAAATCCGCTCGCTGGAACTTAAAATGTTTAGTCAGCCTCATGTGAAGTACAATTCACCCATATTAGATTCCATATGTCTGCTCCTCGAGAAAGATAAGTACTAGTTGGGGCTAATCTACGACTATTCTATGAAGAACTTTTGCTTTCAAAATTTTACCAATTGAAGCTGTTTGTGTTAACTATTTTAATCAATTTATGTTTTGTAGAACAAAAACAGAGAAAGAGAAAAGGTCATCAGTACTTTGTTAAAAAAGAAAGAACAAAAATAGCTTTAAACGAAGTAGACAAGAAAATGGATGTATAATGTAGATTGTTTATATTCGCCACTGATCCGCTAGTTGAAATTCTGTCCGCGGGCCGGATAAAATCTTCCGGCCGGCCACAGTTGGCCCGTGGTTTGCCCATTTCTGTCATAGGCATTTAATATTGAATTATTAAAATGATATTAAAACAAATACATACTTAGAAATATCACCAATCAGAAGGAGGTTTGGCCCAGTTATGTTTTGCAACATATACTCGTAAGAGTGGCAAACATCATTTACATTTTCATCAGTGAAATCTTCATCTCCTGCGAAAGTCTTTCGAGTGGTAAAGGCACTAAGCTGTCATTGTGAGGTACCCGAGTTCATTCATTGGCAACCGCTTGAAGTTTTCCCAGCTTCAGATCCATGATTATCAGCTAATTTTGAAGTAAATGCAAGTCATATTGTTATCTTCTTGCTACTGGTATCGAAATTGTTGAGCCTCAAACTCCATACTCTTTTTTGGATAACAACTGGCTGCTGCGGGATCCAAGTAGCACAGGGATATTGTAACAGTTTTAGTCTACATCGACCGACATTGTCAATATAGGCGAAAATCGACATTGTGTGTACGATATTGTGCGATTCCCGTCGATTTCACATTAAAAGTTTGTTTGTGAAACTTTTCATTTCAAACTTTATTGTGTTCTTAAATCAAAATTAATCATTTAAAAGACAAAAAATGACGTCGAATTGTTATAATTCAAAAAAAGAAAAAAATTTAAAATATAAATTTAAAGATATCCGAAATACTGAGAGATATCGATCGACGTTACCCAACGTTTTTGCAGTATCGAACAATATTTTTTCACGATATTGAATAATGTAATGAAAGTGGTCCATTTTTATATAGTACAATGTTTCGCTACAATATTGCACAATGTTCAAAGCTAAGTTTTTACGATATCGTTTTTGTGAATTGTGCTACTTGGGGAGTGCTTTACTTCGTTTTTCACTTAAATATGAGTAATCTAATACTGTGTATCATTGGAATACAAGTTTGAGTTGTTAAAATGATATTAAAAAGAAATTAAAACAAATATATACTTAGCAAAATCTCCAATCAGGAGGAGGTTTGGCCCAGTCATGTTTTGCAACGTAAACTCATAAGAATGACAGACATCCTTTATATCTTCACATGTGAAATCTTCTTCTCCCGCAAATAGAGTAGTCCTCAAAATCTTGTTGCTTCCTTTCGCGATGATCTCAGTTAAGTCCACTGGTTTACCACCACTTTTCTCCAAGTCTTTTATGCAATCATTGACTGCTTCATAAATGGGCCCTTTTCGCTCCTCTTTGAAAGTCGTCATTCCAAGCTCTTTGAGTTGCTGAATGTAATATTTTCTCTGAATTTTCCATTCTTCTCCATTTGCAAAAGCAAACCCTGAAATATGAAATTGAGAGAGTCCTGATTCAGTACTAGAGCACATGAATTAATGGTGAAATTGGACCAGATCACATGAGTTGTGGTCATTATGTAATAACACCTAATCGATAGAGGTGATTTCGAAATAGTACCAGATCAGTTAAGATCATGATGAAATAATAGAAAGGCAATTGAGGTTGTTATGAAATAGTACTAGTTTTGATTATCCATTTTCATAACTTTAACTGCATCTTTGCATTTTAAATTTTCGATAAAATTTTTTAACTTACATTATTTAGAAAAATGTGAACATATACAAATTATTCTTTGAGCTTTTCCACTAATCTGAAAAAAAAAGTTTTTTTTATTTTCTTTATTTGTTTTTTTTAAAGCTAGTGTATATGCTTTTTGAACGAATAGTTCAACATCCGTAATGCGGGTAACTTGAACCATAATAGGGTGTAAATTTCTGCATCCTTTGTAATTTGTTAATCACGTTTCGGTTCAAGTTGAATCAAATTTATATTGCAATGAAGTTTACGATGTACCAGGGCTAAAGAGGATGGAAGGGCTGGTTCACTTCTTTGAAGAAACTCTCGCCAAGCCAAATCTCCGATTTTCGATTGTGACGTCACGGCTGCGCAAAGCTTGAACTTTTACTTCAAAAACGCAATTGCAATTGTTAATTGCGAATAAACTACCTAATCTTGTAAAGTATGAATGGAAATTAAAAATTCTCAAATAGGTTGTTACTTAACTGCGGAATTGTTAAAAAAGCGTTTAAAAAATACACGACAAACAAAATAGTTTCCGAAAATAATGATATTCTAGACAACATTGAAGATAAAATGCATGACTCCATTCCTATGTCTTGGAATATTGACCTTAATTTGGGAAACAAAATGATCAATTCATAAGAAAAAGAAGGACTGAATTAGATTGATGGTTTTACAAGCATTTCGCCTTAAAAAATATTGATTTAAAATTAGAAATAACATCTTCTCAGTACATCCAACAATAGGGGAGCAATATGGAATGGATAAGAATATAGAGCGGAATTAACTAACCCTTTTCTCTTCTCTTTAGCCCTGACGATGTACAATAGCATTTTTGTAAACACGTATTTTGAAATACTTTCAGAATCAAAAGCTCACGGACGAACTCCTGAATTAAAATGCATATAAAACAGGACTAACATAATGCGTACCTTCTTGGAAAAAAAAGCTCAGTAGAGTAAAACCAGATGCCCTAGTATCAAAATCTTGTGGTTTCTTTAAGTCTACTTCTCTTATGACGTTATACGAACATAAAGATATGTACAGGCGACCTGTAACGGTAAAGCTGAATATGTCACCATATTTTTTTCTCATTTTTAGCAGTTGTAAATGTATAGTTGAAGTATCAAAGAAAGGCCAGTATCCTATGTAAGGAAGGCCTACAGGACCAGGCGGTAGACCACGTGATCGGACAAAGTAGTAGATGGTGGATAAGAGTATAAGAAATAAGGCCAGATAGTATGCACTTCCGTTGCTTGTTAAGTTTTCGGTAATGAACCACATGACTTGCGTGTTTTTCAACTGCAAAATGAAAGTACAAAATATCAGGCATAGCAATGGTTGAAAAAAGAAACATTTTATGGAAAAATGTCTAAGAATATCTATAATATATATAAATATTTCTTTATAAGTCGGACTTCTATTTAACGAACTTTCATGTTGCGAATTTCTCTGTTTTGTGATTTATTTCGAGAAACGAATAACATTTTGGAAGTTTCTTCGTAAAAATAACTGTCCAAATAGCGAAGTGAATTTTCTATTTAACGAAACTTTTCTTTGAGATCCACTTTCCCTATTTCCCAAAAAAAATTTCAGAACATTTCAAACTTGTTAACGTATTTTATGAGGAAAATGACCTTGAATTGATTTTCAAAGTCACTTAACTTTTAAAGAAAGAAGTAAAGTCCCTTTCCATTTTTGTTCGCCTTTTAAACGAAAAACTCAGATAAAATCAACGGATTTTATCAGTAGCAATCAAACTTAAGAACTCATGTGGTAATGCATTTTTGAAATTACTTTTATAATAAATGCAGCCATAATTTTATACATAAATTTAGCTTTTGTTAGTTGAAAATGTATGTAGCATGATAGTGCAACACTGGATAATGTTTTGCTCTATTGTAACTTTCAATGCAGATTTCTTTGATCGTTAAGATTTATAAAATAAATAACCGATACTAGTTTACAAAAGAAAAGCGTATCAATTGCTATTTTAACTATGCCAAGTGTTTATGAATTTAAAACCAGTTTTGTGTTATTTAAGTATTTCAAAAGTTGATTTTTTATTTAATGAATTAATTTTCCATACAACAAACTTATTACCACGATTTAGCGACTTCGTTAAATGGAGTTCTGACTATATATTACTATCAGTTAAAAAATAGAAATTTAAAACAATGAATGCATTCAAACACTCCATTCAATTATTTTAAATACATATACTGTAATAAAAAATTAACTACGATTCAGAAAAACAATTAAAGAAAAAAAAATGAAGGAGATAAGAATGCTTGGTTTTCTGCTTAGGAAACCAGTTATTTTTCCTGTAATATTTCGGAATCACTTATAAATCTCTGCAATAAAGACGTTTTAGCTGTGTCACAGCACTGTGGTAGGTGCAAGTTGAATGCGGTATTTATATCGACCAGCTATCGCTGGGATTCGAACCCGGTTCACCTTAGCAGTTTATAGCTTAATTATTTTTTCTTTTGCTCGGCCGTAAAACGCATACTTTATTTTTATTTCATTTTTGTAAATGATTTGGAAAATATAGATTCTTTGCTCTGATTAAGGGACACATTGTTCAGACAAAATATTGTACGGAAGAGTATCATATTAACACACATCAGTCAGAATAAAGAAAATTCGTCCTTTCACAATTGATCACAAGTAGTTTTCGGTCATTCTTATTTGTTATCGCTAAAGTGAAGAAATAAGTAATTCCAAGATTATCCATGATATCGAGCAGATTAACAAGATTGTTTCATTTTCCAAATTACCTAAGTAATCTGCAAACTACCTGATAATTTGCTCATAGTCTACTAGGCACAAGTTAAAGCGAAAATAGCATTTTCGCTTGAGAGCACCGTTTTACGTTTGTGCACGCTCTAACTAATTTACTTTTATGCATCTGTTCATTTTTTGCAAAAAATCAAGTTGCAACTATAATCATTTAAGCAGGTCGAATCAATCGCGAACAATCATCGGTTTAAAATATTGTTACGGGATATAATACGGAAATTAATATTAATATTACCATTGATTTATTTTTAATATCTAAAGAATCAAGTCAATAAATACAATCAAACTAACGTAAAATTGGTTGATAGAATGAGAGAAACAAACTTTTGAACTTTAACGATATGGAAACCGTAAATGCGCACGCTACTTAGGTAAATTACGGAGAGCACTTGATTACGTTCTTTTAACGGATCACCCTAGTTAATCTGAATATTAGTTAGTTAAAATGCATATTTACGGTTTTCGAGCATTAGCGATAAAATATAAATTGATTATCAAAAAATGCCACCATTCGGTCAATGATGGTGCAAATAATTCCGGATATGAAAATGATGCCATTTGCATGCTTAGCTCAGTGTTTTGTTTTACACTCTCATAGTTATCAATGTCCTGTTGCATTGATGATTAACTAATTAATATTAGAATTTGATTAAGCATTCAATAAATCAATTGATAGAATGAGAGAAATAAACTTTTGAACTTTAACGATACGGAAACCGTAAATGCACACACTACTTAGGTAAATTACGGAGAGCACTTGATTACGTTCTTTTAACGGATCACTCTAGTTAATCTGAATATTAGTTAGCTAAATTGCATATTTACCGATTTTGAGCATTAGCGATAAAACATAAATTGATTATCAAAAAATATCAGCATTTGGTCAATAATGGTGCAAATCATTCCGAATATGCAAATGATGTAATTTGTATGTATAGCTCAGTGTTTTGTTTTATACTATTATATTTATCAATGTCTTATTTCAGTGATAATTAACTTAATTATATTTTATAATTATTATTTTGTTTAATTTTTTTTCTTTGTATGGATGAAATACTAAAAAAAAAATGTTCTATTTTAATTCAATTATTCGCTTATTTAAAATCAATTTATCTCAAAATAACTTAATTTTTCAAAGATGTAAAATAAGTGCTTAAAAGTTTGTGACATTCAAGAGAATATTAACAAAAATCTAACCATTTGAAGATTACTTGCCAGTGATATAAACGAGTAACAGAGTTTCTTGACGATTTTTAGATAATATATTTTTTAAATTTCTTTCTTCAAAATGTAAAGAAATAAAAACAAAATAAAAGAAGATGATAAATTAATTAATACGTTACGAAAATCCTTCGTATTAGAATGTGTACACTTTTCCTCACATGTTTGCTCTGAAGCATATTGAACAGAAAAATTGAATACATTAAATGTTTTTAGGAAATTTGTATAAAAAACATCTCAGATAGAAAATCACAGACTTACTTAGCTGAAATAAGTGTTTTTCATCTTTCCTCTTAAGAAATTGTCTAACTAGCGCCTAAGCAGCAATGCGTCTTCTTCAAAACCTTTTTAAAAATGCACTTTCAAACGATGTCACATGTAGATGGAGCTACTAGATAAGTAAAAAAGTAAGGACATATTTTATTTCCATTTGCTTCGCTCAAAAAGTCCTCTTATAACTTTCTTGTTAGTTCTTTCATTTCTCACAGAAGGCAACACTAAAAACATTCTTTCCGATCCTTGTTTAAATATTTTTCTAATTTTGAGATTTCTTTGAACTAGCTGTATGAGTTATAAATTATACTCAACCTTACATAATAAATTTTTTTCCATCCATATTTTTCAATACAAATAGAAATATGAATAAGTAACCAAACTCAATGATAAACTCTGCATTTTAAAATGATATTCAATTAATTTTATTTTATTCGATAATTAGCTATAAAATACTTTTTTCCAAGGATGAAACTTTTAAAATATATATTTGTTTAATGTTGATCGTAAAATGAAGTTTCAAATTTTAACAATCATTTCATTGACTGGGAGGCTCCGTACTCTCCCAGCTTCGCTCGCCAACCCCCGTAGCCTTGCTTTAATTAATTTTTCTATCATTATTATTATTTTCTTAAAGTTTATATTTTTTGTCGTATAAAAAAGATGATTTAGAAATGGAAATCTCCAATTATTATAATTTTATTTATAGGTTAATTGCATTTTACACTAAATACAAGAGATTTTTTGAGCAATGAGTAAATAACCATTATTGTGAGCAAAAAATAATAATAAAATCGTGAAAAAAACATGTAAAATTAAAGTAATTTCGAATCAAATTGAAATTTTGAAAAAATAAAAATCGAATTTAGTTCATAAAGAAGAATGGCCCTTTTCAACTCTGTAGCTTATACCGATTTACTACCTGTTCACTTACTTCAGTGGCTTACATGGTATATTTTTACGACAACTCTAATAGTTGATTATTCTCGAATTAATAATCGACTTATAATTATTTTCATTTTAACGCACTACTTGTAATTTTTTCTACTCATCTTCATAATTTTAACTGAGTGAAAGATGGGGTGCATTGGTTTCCCCTTGCGGTAAAATAAATTTTAGACGGTGCTTTTTACCTAGAAAAAACTTTAAAAGAAGCAGAAAAAAATTTTGAAAATAATTTTTTAAAAAAAATGAGTAATTTGAAAAAATATTGAAAATTGCCATTTGCAATGGGGGTGGGTTTAAATCCCCTAAATCCCACCCTTACATACACAACTGAATGTACATGGCATATATTGATTTATTATAAATACTTTCTTACCTCCAAATGAATCAGTTTGAAGTGCTTTATTTCCAAAAAAGTTGTCACATTTTTAAAAGAAAGATAAAGTTTTATCTTAGAAAGATAAAATTGTTCTAGAAATACTTGATAATTCATTGTTTAATGCAGTTTTTGACAGAAAATTGGGCTAAGAATCGGCTCTTTGGATATTCAATATTTTAAAATGCTATAGATGAAGGGGGAAAAAAGATTAAAGCAGTAAATAAGAAAGACAATTTAAAGAAGTTAGGAACATTTTCTCATTGAGTAAAATGATGCTACTATTAAGGGGTCAAAGAAGTTTTTTGCTCTGTGGGCACAAGAGATTCATAAAAATCAAGGATGCTTTGAAATCTATTTTCTTCTGTGAAGAGACTGTTTTACTGTTGTTTTGAGAGTAGAGCGACTGAAAAACAGTGGCAAATATTTCATTTTTGTTAAAGAAAACAACAGAAGGCTTGAACTGAAGTGCTTCATTATTTTGCACTCAGTATTAAACAAAAATGCTCTAAAATTAAACAGAAAAAAAACCTTCAATAGAAGACTGAAAAACCGAAAATTGTCACATATTGTACAATAGGGTGGAGCGAAATTTTTTTTTCGATAATTAAATAGTACTACCTCCCAAAAGTTGTATGTGGACTAGTATATATCACTCGTGAATTTTTTCTGAACTTTTATGCACCATCTCCAATCCCCGCAAAAGTTTTAAACCTTCGAAATTTCAAAGACGTGTTAAAATTGTTACGGAGGTTCTTCGACCAATTAGTGGAGCAAAAGCTTGTGATTGTAAAATCCGAACAAAATTATTAGACAGGTCAATAATGCCGATTTTCGAAACAGTAAGGATTATCCAGAGAAAGGATTTTGTAGAAAATATGTAACAGTGAAAATACAACACCCAATTGTAGGGTGTTTGGGAAGGGCGGGGTCAAGGGTGGAACTCGTCATGGTGAGTTCTGGATGATTTATCGCACCAGCAAAAAGTTACATTTTTATTAACCTCACAATAGCATTGTTTAGTTAAAACAAAATTAGTTAATAAAAAAACCCGGGCCATTTATTTAAAAATTTCGTATTTTTTGTAAATTTTTAACATTTAACTGCTTTTTTTAGGAACGAAGATATTGCAGAAAATTCTGAAAAAAATCAGGAGCAATATTTTGAGAAGTGATTTGTTTTTGATAGATAAATTTTAAAAATTTATTAAATTCACAAAATTTTGTGGTATTTTGAAAATTTTTAAAATTTTAAAGCGTTTACGGGGAATGAAGATGGTGCATAAAAATTCTTAAGAAATTCATATACTTGTTCATATACAACTTTTGGGTGGTAATGCTATTTAATTATCGAAAAATTTGCTTTTTTTTCTCCACCCTAGTGTCCTATGATGTTAACAAGTATCAAATCTTTTTAAATAAAAAAAAATCTATTAAAAGACAAACGACGTTAAGTCTAAAAAAGATATCCCTTAGCAGCTACTAGTGAAAATGTAACTGAAGCTTTAATTTATTTAATTTTAAAGAAAAATTACTCTTTCTAAGAACAATTTCCTTTCTTATTATATTATTAAATTCTTGATTATAATAAATTGTTAAAAACTATTTATCCCGATTTTTGTTCTTACATTATTAACTGCATAATTTTTTAAACATCATTATATAAACGATACCAGACGTACGCATCGGAACACACATTGACACAGACGCAAAGAAACAGACATTAAGAAACAGACACATATAGACGCCGACACAAAGACACAGACATTCTCCAATTGTTGAGTTCATGAGCAAAATTTCTCCTCTGTTGATTATTTTCCTATTGCATAATGTGGGTAAAACTAAATTTTGAATTCACAAAAACCTGACGTATGATTAAAAAAAAAGTCGGTTTTTATGTTCAGCGTGTAAGATGGGAGGGTTATAAAGGGTCAGGTACATTATACCCAAATTCAGTTACCCGAAATTTGATTCAAATACTCGACTCTGTCTGCCCAGCAGGTAGTACGTTTGCTCAATTTCTCACTGAGCATAAGAAAGTAAGAAGAATAAAAAAAGGTAAAAATAAATAAATAAAAAACAAATAAAAATTGAAAAAACTGAATGAAGTATACCTTTTAATGCTACTAGAACAACTTTAATTCCTGAGGTCTAAAATGCTTTAGAAAGCAGCGACAACATAAACAAGTATTAAATATCGTTTGCACTTTCTTTCCATAAGTAGCCCAGTTTTATTTATAAGGTAAAGCAATTGCCAATAGAGAATTTTATACTCAGTTTCCTTACATGACAGCCAGTCAGGTAAACGTACTGCCTCAACTGAAACTGAACACGCAATCTGAAAAATAAATTGCCGGGCAAACGTACATGTCCGGAAAATAAATTGTAGGGCAAGTGACCGGATCCGGTTAAAAATAAATAAGTTATGTTTACCTTCATAGAGGATATTATTAATAGAAGAAATTATGATTAGAAAATAACAATTTAAGATTTTCAAAATTGAGGATACACTTTTCACACTATTATAAATAACATCTTTGATATAAAATGATACGATATTAATAGTATAATATTATCGAGTTTGAATAATATAGTTACGTTGCAGCATGAAGGAAGGTATTGGAGTCATTTTGTTAGCGTAATTATTATACTACTAGTGGGCTGTNTTGTAATGAGGCTTTTTTTTTATCGCCGTGTAAGAGAAATATATATATAGATAATAGCATTCTCGAAAATCGTTACAATCTTAGCACTGCACATGCTTTAACTTTAAGCGTATTTCAGTATTAATGGATGATTGAGAATCGAGTTATATTATGATCGAAGTAAATAGGCTGTTCATTAGTCAGTGCCCATAATATAGATAAATAATTTTTAGTATTTTTAGAAATCATCACCCTGCTAATTTTGTGAATTTTTTTAAAAGCGAATAAACATTAAAGGTTGCCAATTAATAACAAATGCGAGGAAAAATCGAAAATGCTTTTGAATTTTAACTAATAACTACTGAGAAGGGCAGGAATGAAAACAGCAAAACCAGTCTGATTGACAGAAGAGGAAAAGTGATTATTAGAAACACGTTTTAAATTCCTAGGGCAATTAAACGGATTTTGATGTTTTCACATCCTTCTTTCCTCACTAGTGATTAGGTAGAAAACGACATTGATTCTTCTTTGGTTAAATATTAATTTGGGACCCTTAACGTGCTATTAATATATATTAAGGGAATTGATTACGATACATCCTGTCCAATTGAAAAGATGTATTTGGAGGAAATGATTGTTAGTGTAAATGGGCAGTTGGATATTTAAAATAAAATGTTTGATTAATAGGCTTTAAGAAAACTTTATTTTGCTGCAATTTTGAAACAAAAATTACTGCATGGAGGTTTTCATATTATACAAGAATTTTCCAGAAAGTAAGTTCCGTTTCGTTGTCCTGTCTCTGCAGCCGTAATGTCGCAGTTCTGCACATATGTACATGCGTCTAGGGTTGATGGTCGGTTCACTGACGTCATTAAAATCAGATGTGCTGTGTTTTCTTACGTTCATGTGTTAAAGTCGATTGCTGATCCCCTTGACATTTAAGAGCTTTTTATAATATAGTTTCTGGATGCAAAGAATGTTAATTCCGTCGAAATATATTGTCAACTTGATAACATGTAATTTATAATGAACATGTAATGAACGATGAAATCGTAGGAAAGTGGGTTCCATAATTCATTGATGAACGCACCAGTTTTCAAGATGAAGCACAGCACAAAGTGAGCAATCTTCTTTTATCAAAGATAGGTTGGTT